GGGGGGGGGGGGGAAATGGCAAATCGAGGCAGAGGGAGAAAAAATTATTCAGGGTCACACCTCCCCAGCAGGTAAGTCCCACCCAGCTGGGGCCCCACTCAACTTACCCCTGCTCCTGCCTCTGCAGCACTGTCCCTCAGTGGGGTTCTCAATCTAGCCCCCTTCCCTTCCATCCTCCACGGACTGACTTGCTAGGCTGGGGTACCTCACCCCAGCCTCAGAAAGACTCCAAGAGACTCCGATATCTACTGCAAAAGGCTGTGAAATCTACCAGTGGATCAAGATCCGCTGGCTGGTGACCACTGGTCTACAGGCTGCTCCCAAAACATTAACAATGACCACAAAAGGCCCTTTGAAGTGCACTAGTTTAAACAGATACTGGGCATGTCTACACATGCATTTTATCTGGGATCAGTTTACTTGCAAGTAAACACTCCTAGGCAAGTGTCTACACGGGCAGGGAAGCAGGAGAGGATTAGCTGCTAATGACACCAAACCATACCCACTTCCTGGGGCACTGCAATGGGCCCCTGCTGCCACCAGGGAGAGCTCCAGGATCTCCCAGTGCCAGCTGCGCAGTCGCAGGGCTTGGCCTGAGAGATAAGGATCTCCCAGTGCCAGCCCCACAACCATGGAGCTGGTGCTGGGAGATAAGGGTCTCCCAGCACAAATCCCATGACCATGGAGCTCTGGCTGTTCTCCAATTGTGATCTCAGAGCAGGGGACTTGGAGCTCCCTGTTGCCGGGGCAGGGAGACAACCCGGCAACAGGCAGCTCCCAGGGGCAGAGAACAAATCTCACGCCCCTGGTGGCCAAGGTGACTGGGAGCAAATTTGCTCCCAGTCAGGTGTCTACACAAGCACTACTGTGCAGTTACTAATCTAAAGTAAATTTGCTACTTGCATTTGCAGGTAGTATATTTACTCACGATTAGTGAGGTTTACTGCACAGTAAGCATGTGCACGTAAAGACGCACATGTTTACTACTCAGTAAACTATACTACTGTGCAGTAAAGCATCTCATGTAGATGCACTCACTGTGAACCACCCTGAACCTTTCCTGGGAAGGCTGGCATATACATTCAATGCATGCATGCATAAACAAACAAACAACATTAACAATGAATTTTCTGTATAAAACATTACATTAAAAGAAAAATTAGACTGCAGGACTTCAACCTTTACAGGCTTTCCTTGGGCTGTCCTCATGACAAAATCAGACTGCCACAAAAACTTGGATTAATATCCGTTTATAACATTCTGGACAGGTTGAAAAATATATGTTCCAACTGCAAAAGTGAGATGCAGAGTCAGTAGAAGATCACACAGCAAATCTGCAACAGAGGCAGAAATGGAATCCAGGTCTCAAATTTCTTTCTACTACCTGAATCACAGGACCATTTTTCTCCTTCTGTCTGACTCTTGCTTCATTGTGAAAACCCACAAAACATGCACAGCGAATAAGGCAAGACTCAGTCACAGTATATTCTTTTTTCCCCTCTCTGTCCACTTTGTGCACTCAGTTAGGCAGGGGTCCTGGGGGAAAATGAAGTAGCATGTGATCGTGTAATCAGTGCTGTGCAGGGCCTCTTAACTGTGCTTTTCAGAATTGGAAGGCTTACCTTTGTGACTTAAATGTTTCTTTTTTAATTTCTATTTAAGCAAGCAAAAAAATTCTATTGTATTCTACTAGTCTCAAGATTACTCTACAATGCAAAATATATACAATCTATAAGGCAAGAGCTTGTACCTCATTTTATTTAATGTTTTTCTTCATTACATGGAAAATAAGGCTTCTTCTGACCCATCTGAATGCACCTTTTAAAATTATATTATTCAATCCCTCCCTTATGAAACCTAAAATTCCATTCTATGTTAAATCCACAAATGCATATCCAGAGATACTCCTGAGATGTCTTCTTCCAATTGGAATTTCCACTCAGTTTCATAACTATCCTTGTGAATTGCTAGTGGAATGCTGGGAGATCATTTGTTTTATGGTTTAACACTGGTTCTCAATCTCCATTGGACTCGTGGGCACCCCTCCAAAACTCTCATGAATTACGTAGTACCCCATTGCAAAAACTAATTTATATATGACATTGCTTATTTCCTTGTAGAGGGACCAGGCAGTGGCGATGAAGGATCAGCCAGGCAGGAACAAGCCTGAGCTTGGACTTGCTTATCTCTTTACATCTTGCAGTACCCTTCAGAAATCTTGCAGCACCCCAGGGTGTCATTGCAGCCTGATTGAAAATAACTGGTTTAACAGAATCCCATGTACATAGCCAAGTCAAGTCAAGTCAGTCCCAAGGCCGCTGCAACTGTTGGATGCTGTAACAACCCTCCTCCACTAGCCCCACCTATTCCTTAAAACCAGTTTCCCAGCTCTTCTTGGGTCTACATCTTTTTCTCTTTCCCTCCACTGTCCCCACATCATGGTGCTGGAAGGGGTGCCCAGCCTTGTCACATGTTCAAACTATCGCAGCTTCCTTCACCACACAACATCCAACAGTTTGTGGGTTCCAATTTCTTGACTAATTTGCTGTTTGACAGACTCATTGGTCCATGCTCAGTATATGAAACATGCAGCAGCCTCCTAAAGCAGCACATTTCATGAGGCTCAATTCTGTTCCCCAACTTCTTAAGTGTCCATGCCTCAAAGCCATAAAGCATCATAGAGATGGCCACAGCATACAGCAAATGTAACTTTATCTTCAGTGTAATATTACTGCTTGTACATAAACAAAGTACAAATTTTATACCTTTCATAGATTTCATAGATATTAGGGCTGGAAGGGACCTCACGAGATCATCAGGTACAGCCCCCTGACCAAGGGGCAGGAAGTAAGCTGGGGTCAGATCACCCCAGCAAGATAAGCATTTATATCCCGTCCAAATCAAGTCCAATTCCCACCCAACCTACTAAAGTACTATGTGCTACTGAAAATATCCCTGCCAAATTTCAAGTTTCTATGACCTGACCTTGGTCACAAGAGCTATTAATAAAAGGGTTGCATAAAATTGTTCTAAACTAAAAAAAAAAATAATAATTTCCTTACTTTTGGATATAATGCCTGAAATCAAATCTTAAACCAATAGGTAATACTTTGCGAAAGCAGTAAACTACTGAGAATAACCCAGTGAAATGGAAAGACGTAGGAAAGCTATACCAAAAATATAGACAATGCTTTGCCTGCTATCTATATGATGTCAAACAACAGATACTATCAAAACAAGCAAGCAAACAAAACAAAAACATACTATGCCCATGTTTCTATAGATATCTGGAATGGTTATACAGCCTTTTAATTTTTAAAACAGGCCTTCAGCAGGCAGAGTTAAATTTCGGATGTTGTTTTGGGAGCTTGTTCTACATATTATTTTATTTTAATATTTTACCTGTCTTTATATTTACCTGGATTCATTGCAAGTGGCCTGGAGCCTCTTCTGAGGAGGCTCTAAAACCAATTCATTAATTAATTTGTTTGGTGGTTTATTTCCAAAAAAAAAAGTTGGGTTACTACAGCTTCATACACACCACTATAACTGTCCTTTTGAGAAAGACAATGGTTACGGATTAAGTTTTTGCCACTGGATGGCAGCAACAGAACCTCACCTGTTTTTGTCATCCCAAATTTGCTTTCTATGCTGCACCTTCACTATAATTTTGAAACAGATATGGGTGCCTATTTTAAGCACAACAATTTAAAGGTTTCAAATGCTGGAATGCACACAGCACTAATACGGTTGTTTAACTTATAAAAATTGTATAAGGGACTGTGAGTTCAACCAGTTCAAAAGTCAAATAATTTAAGCAGAATTTAAGATATAAAAAGGTAGATGGCCAAATTACTTCATAAAATATGTATCTGTAAGGTTTCTGTGTCTCTCTCCAGCCTGTCTACTCCCTACAAAAACAAAAACAAGTTCACCTACAAGTTGCCATTTTATCTTCTGTTTCTTAGTGACTTTTTATCCTCAAACCTCTCCATATAACGAATGATAATACCATACTGAGATCCTCTAGATCTGGATGATACCTGGATGCATCATACATTAACTATCCAAATCAATACCAGTAGCAACATCAACTTGCTCAAACAGACATTACACCACAAGTTTTCTGAGCTATACATCTACAAAATTGTTTAAATCATCATTTATCATGTGGACAAATTAAAAACATTTTAGTTAATAAAAATATTTTGCATGAACTTTTCAAATGACTTGCAACTACAATGCCAAAGGCACACTAAAACTGACATTAAAATGCTGACATATAAATGTCTTGATTCTACTCTCAGGGAAAAAAAATGTTACTTATGCCCATTTAATTACTGGTATGAAATTAAATTTCTTTTGATTTGTCCTATAAGATGAAACCCAAACAATGTATTTTCAAACTGCACAATGAGAGCATCTATCTTAGTATGTTGCACCATTTCTGTAGAACTCTTGTCAGGAGGCAACTATCTTGTATCTTTACATTACACAGATGGTGTTTACAATTGGGTTGGAGGAAGTTGGAAGCAGGATGTACTTCTATATCAAAACAGTATTCTTAAAATCCTATGAAGGATGTACTGTGCTTTGATATTTTTCTACCAGTGTCTAACTACCTACTTGGAGAACAAAGGAAAAATAGGTCATACTGACTGTATTAGTCATTATTCTATTCATCCACAGGTGCAAGAATATAGGACACAGTCCTTTTACTTCTGCTCCTATTTTTTACATTTTACCATGCAAAAAGTGTTTTCCTTAAATATTACAAATACAGGGAGTTAAATATTCTAAAATACATGACCATTGTATCACATACCTTTCAATGTCAAAGGGAAAGCAGAACTTTGGCACACTGTTCAGCACTTCCTGTAAAAACAGAAGAAAGAAAGTTAGGATTCTGATATCATTTTTATCTTAGGAGAAATTGCTATTCTATTTGCTAGAAAATCAAATTCAAGAAAATATTTGGCTGCAAGTAATATAGCACACGTTCCTTGACTGAAATAATTGATTATTAAAAAGGAATTAAGTTTGTGCTTTGGCAGATTGCAAAGACAATGCCATAGAAGCCCCAGGAGGGAAAGGCCTGGCCTGAAGGGTATTAACACCCTTCACATCCCCGCTGGGATTCCCTTCAACAAGGCCATATGGATTTTACAAGAAGCACCGCACCATATGGGTAAGCCACGTCTGCTGCTACTTGTACCACAGACTAGCCACAGGGACTTCTGACAGATCCTGGCTCAAAAATACAAATGTTGTTTCAATTAAAATGCAGGCAGAGAAAAGGGAATGAAGTTGGCAGCAGAATGAATTACTGAGAGGTATAACAACTCTATACATGTTTCATAGTCAATTGCTGAAAAGGATGAAAATCTTCTGTTGGTACAAAGCAGAAATCTATATGGTTAACCCTTTGGTAGAGTTGTAAGTTATACACAAGCAAACCTTACTATTAACAGAGGAAAAATATAACCAGTGCCACAGTGTTCAGATGCTAATGTAAAAGGGTATTTAAAAGCTGTTTAATGACAAAAATGTGTCTTAACTGAATATTAAAATATCCTTTTCTTTTAAACTACAAGGCATCTCTCTAAAAGAGAACAACTGTATCAGTTGTCAACAAATCAGTAGTAAAGTATATCACTGACTGGACAAAATCCTCCCTGTTGCCCCTACCCCCACTCCAACCAAAAAAAAAAAAGAAAAGAAAACCCTAGTAATTAATGCCTTGCTTCTAGCAAACCAATTGGGAAAACACCCCTTTGTATGAAATGTTTCAACTTGGGAAGACAATTTCTGATAAAAATGTAGCTAGGTCAGAGAATTTATATTTTCTTATTGTACCAATCTTGCAAACATAAAAATATAAAATTATGCAGGAAATACAGAAGCATATAGACACATGAGAGTCACGTCACTGACTGCCTGCTTGAAGGATAGAGGATTTTGAGCTGCAAATTTCCAGTGACACAGGTGGGGACACAAGTGTTTGATTCTGACTGACAGCACCCACCAATCCCATTGAAGTCAATGAGCACTCAGCACTTCACAGGATGGGGTACCAGTTTCCATGAGTGAAAATCATGCAGATAAATTCCTGTAGACCACACTGAATACTTCCTTTCGATATTTCCCAGATTCAATACATAGATGCATGAAAAATAAGCATACGCTAAACATTAAGGTATGCATATTTTAAAATACTGTAATACATGCATTATTATTTACAACTCTTTCAAAGGTATATAGTGAGTGCCAATAGAGTACTATATTGCGATTTATTTTAAGAGTAAGAAAGCCCATTGCTCCGGGTTCTGGACCAGTTTTAGAAACTCCTATGTACTCTGAGAGCAAAAATAAAAATAATTTGAAAGTAATATGCTATGTTTTGGAAAGTAATGCTAACTGACTTGATTATGAAAAATGTCTTTCTACACTGCACCATATATTATTCTTCTTAGAAGAGATCATTGCTCAGCCCCTGTTATGGCTGCTACAAGAGGCCACCATGGGAAGAGCTAGAAATAAAATAAAATCATAATATATTGAACCAAAGCTGAAAACAACAAAGTCAAACCAAAGGAGAAAAAATGTAAACCTATCATTGAAATATTTATTTAATATTTTCAAATAGTTTATTCTTTCAGGCTCCCAAACTTTGAATTTCCTTCTTCAGGGAAACAAATTTATTTTTAAACTCTAATTCCACAAATGCTAATTAGAAGCCCAGGTTTTCAGTACTCTGTCATCTTCGGCAATTCACAGACTTTAACATATCTTAGTTTACACGCAGCATTTTTAACTTAATATTGACTATATTAATTGCTGCTTGGTGAGTGTAGGACTGCTTGCACATTATGTAAAAGCAGTTGCAATATTCATCTAAATCTCCCAACTGGATCTTTTCTGAATAAATTACAGTACAAGTAAGAAAACAAAACAGAAATATTAATTCAATGTTTTGACTGAACAATGTGAAAATTATCAGTGCATTTTGCAACATTTTCAAGACTCAAATGAACTACACTACTTTCTGGTTGCTCTGCCTCCCACCCCTCCCCCGGCCCCAACCAATACACACGCACAAACTTCTGCAAAACAGCCTCAGCTCGCTTCCCAACTGGCAGGAGCATCCCTCAGGGGACAAGTCTTTAAACCTCCGCACTCTTTAAAATTCAACCAGCCAGCAGGTCTATAGACTGGTGTATAAACAGTATAGACAAAAAAATCCTCTCTCAGCTTATGTCAGTGACAAAGCAGCTCAGCAGTTGACTGCTTCTCCCCTGACAGTGTAAGCTGGGTTTACACAGATCAATAGATGGAAGTCCTACCTAGCTTCCAGGGCTCAGTTTTCTCCCTTAATTACAGGTGCTATTCAGATTTTCAAATGGAGGAAAATAACATGTATATATGTGATGCTTTCTAGATGTCTTTAAAACACTACTAGTGTGTAATTAATTGAAAAGAATAAACTCAGTATTACATACACAATCACATAATAAGTATAGATTTTAAGTTGACAACATGGTACTTGCGACTTTTTCCCCCAGAATAAAACTTGAATTCTGGTATCTAACAGATCTTCATTTCCAAGGGAAGTACGTAAGCTATACATTCTTCTTGTGCAGAAAAAGTGTGTTCATCAGGAAACAAGAAGAGTATGGTGACAATCTCTTTCATTTGATTAACAATAGGAATTAACAAAAATAGGTGTTCTTCTCGGAAGGAAAAGGGCTGCATAGTTTTTCAGACACAAGAATTATCAATGACTCATGTTACCAGTGAATCATCATCATCACTTATGGGCCTTATAATTCCAGATTTTGGTATTTTCGAAACAGCATACATTGTTCAAATACAGAAAGAAGTTTGATGTGCAACTCATTACATACTGCAATGTTCTCTTGAAAACGAATGAGAAATCTTACAGACGGTCAAAAAAATTAATTAAATTGAAATTAAATCAACTAGCTGCTTCTTCACTATTTAGAAAGGTTTCTACATAAGCATATCCATAGTCATGTAAGCTTCAGAAATCCCCACGCTACAAAATGGATGGATTAATTTACTCATAATAGCATGCTCTGTTGATAAAAATCTGTTCCCCTGGACAGAACCCCTATAAAGGGGAGAAAAGACTGTTCTCCCTCTGCCCACCGTCAGAACAAAACATCTAACATAGTCCATATAAAGTCCATTTTTCTATAATGTAGTAGTAGACACTGCAAATCTCACAGGGTTGTCATCCAGTGCTTCTATGTAGTTCACAGCTACACCCATTACACCCTTCCATGCCACCAGTCTGCTCACAACTACCACTCTCTGTGCTCCTGTGGTAAGATAACCACTGCAGCAGCCTGAAATCCAAAAGCAGTGGTTTTTTTATATTGTTTTGTTTATTTAACTATACTTATACCTATGTAACTTTTTATATGACACCCATCACCTACATATTCTTTATCTACAGAACAATGATGATTTTTAACTCGTTGATATAGACCATTTGCTGTCAGAAGTCCATCTCCTGCCAATTGACAATGCAGCCTTGGGAAAAACTTATGGCCTGTCCTTTTGTTTAGAGGTTAGTTATCACAGACAGTGCAAGACTGACTTTTTCCTTTAAAAAAAAAAAAAGCAGTCATGGGCATAATGAGAGTGGAGGAACTTCACTACGTTATATAAATCAATATTCAGAAATGCAAAAGCCTATTTTAATTAATCTCCACGTTGTGATTGGATTAACCAACTAAGTAGATGAATTAGATTTTCCGCTGGTCGGAGAACTGCAAATGCACCAACATTTTGCTCAACACTCCTTTCTCACCTAGAAGAATATGAGGAAGAAAAATGCAGAACAAAATCATGGGTCAATTTAAATCAATGGCAAGTCTTACACTGACTTCAGGGGAAACAAAGTTTCAGCCACAATACCTATCCAGTATATTCTGTAAGAGGGACTTTTTATCCACCTTATTTTCATCCTAAAAGCAGAATTTGAATACACAAGTTGAAATTATGTCAGTTTCAGAAACATGGAGTCTGTAACACATCGCATTTTGATAGTCAGTTTGAAATGAGGTACACTCAGTAATTAAACTTATGTACCAGAATGGCATGCATACGGACAGGAAAGGCAATTTGGTAACATATTTTGTTTTCAACAAAGCTCTCTAACACCTAACTGTAAATTAAAGGGTATTTGCGATTGTCTGCATAGGAAAGTTATACAGACATAGCTTTGGTGTAAATATAAAATCATGGTGCTTATATCGGTATAACCCACACGTGGATACTATGATGCCACAGTGTCTTTTCTTTTTTTAATATTAGTTTATGCCATTTTGGAGGGAATTCACTATATGGTTAAAGATGGTAAAATTTCCCCACAACAATACGGCCTCCTGAAAACAAATGTGCAGGTGATGAACTGGATTTCTTGAGACTTGATTATATAAAATTATTCAAGTAGGATAATATAATATGCAGCGTGAACTAAGTAACTGGGTAGGGGATTTGCAGGTATATACAGTCATCAGGGAAATATATATATTTTCTTTTTATGATATATGCTGACATTTTGCATAGTCTAAGTTTTAATGGGGTAATGGAGGGATGAGTTTTTAGAAGTTATATGAAAAGAATGAAAATCTCCCCTTGCACGGACACACTATATGAAAAAGAACTACTTCATCTGAGGCAGGAAAATATCATTCTCCTGGCAAGCTCCAGCACTGGTTTTTTGTTTGCTTTTTAAGAAAGGGCTCCATGCCTTTCCAACGGCATATACTCTTGTGCAGGGGTGGCCAACCTGTGACTCAGGAGCCACATGTGGCTCTTCTGAAGTTAATATACATCTCCTTGAA